GGAATGACCTCTGACTGCAATGAAATGTTTCAGGTCATGTCAAATAAATAAAGCCAGAATAGCAGAACTGAATCAGTTGTTCTTAACTTAGCTGACTTAGTAGAACTACATAAGCACTAATCATCCTAATTTCTATTTCAACCACTTCTAGATGTCTGTTAAATTAGATATCTTTCTTTGTATCTGGTATGGCTGGATATCCATTCAACTGGGACTATTTATCAAACTCTAAGGAAAGGATGTCATGACTGGAAAACATAATAAAAGTTTACTAAACAGACTGATAGAGACTATTGTCTCTATAATGATAAAAATAGAAAGAATAAAAGGAGCTCTTTTTATAGTTTTTCATCAGATGCAGATCATCTGATTAATCTGTCAGTTTTCTTAGACGTAAGATGCCATTTACCCCTAGATATCACAATTATTGCCAGTGATACAAACGTATGGTGTCATTTGAAACTAATTAGTTCTTGTAGATTATTGAAACAAGCCAAGAATTTCTGTTGGGAAGATTAATTCTGTACTTTAGTCAGTTCAGTTCAGAAGTAAAAGAGGAAATATTTACTACAACTTGAATATGCAGTTTACATAGTTTCCATTTCTGCAAAACAAAACAAAAAGGTTTGAAGCATAGACTCAAACCTGTCAATTTAGAAAGTAAATCAAATGTAAATGTATGCAATTGCACAAAATTTAGTAATTACATAGCTTTGTTTGAGTAGCACAGCAAAATAAAATGAAGCACTCTCGCCAAGCATAGTATCCACCCACTGCCTGCATTAACAGAAAAGTATTGCTTACACTGCCATCAGCTTTAATGCACTCCTTTCCGTTTGTGGCTGTACATTTTCACAAAGCGGTGCCGTATCTGAGTCATTTTTAACCCATATATGATGGGGTTCAGCAGAGGAGGCACAACAAGGAACTCCATTCCCAAGATGTTGCGCAGAGCTTGCAGTCCCAGGCTTCTGCCATAGCGAGCATACATTACATCAAATAATACGGAAATGGTGAAGTTGATGAGCGTGATTAAATGAGGCAGACAAGTCTGCATGAATTTAACCCGCTCTGTCTTAGAACGCAAAGAAGCCCTTGATAATGCGAATATATGATACAAAGATGAACACAACTTGACAAACATGATGTAACATTAAGTACCCGAAAATGTTGTTCGCAGTCACATCTGTGCAAGAAAGCTTAACAACCTCCCAGTTAGAGCAGTAAATCTTGTCAATATCATTACCACATAAAGGTAGTCGGGCTGTCAGTGCAGTCATAACAGATGTTTCTAGTACAGAGAAAACCCACATAAAAATCAACAATTTCATCACTTTCTTTTTGGTCATGATGGTGTGATATTCCAAAGGTTTACAAATGGCTACATATCGGTCATATGCCATGACTGTTAGACATGTAGCTTCACAAAAAATATAGCAGCAAATGATGTATATTTGTGCTAGGCACGCTGTATATGAGATAATGTGAAAGTCGGAGAAAACATCAGCAAGAATCTTTGGATAGAAAGCAGAAGCACCACATATTCCATTCACATACAAATTGCATATAAACAGATACATGGGTTCATGAAGTGTTTTGTCCAGAATAATCGCGATAATTAGCGTTAAATTCACAAGCAAAGTCACAATATAGACAACAAGGCCAAATGCAAAGTAAATGTGTTTGTTTGTTCGTGTCTCATTCAGTCCATGAAGCACAAACATGAACTCTCTGGAGGAATTTTCCATCACTTCTTCTCTGAACATAGAATACTTAAACAAGATGGTACTCTTGCTTATATGTTTCTGATGCCTGACATGTGATGTTTACAAAAGATGAAGAGGGAAAAAAAACAGCCTACAGAATAACTCCCCAAGTGAGTTTATATCTTTAATAATTATACTTCCACCCCTGTCATGGTTACACTCTTATCAGGGCTGTATACACGTACAAGCTCCTATTCATGTTAGAGGTTAAAATACCTAAAATCCTTGCAATCACTCATTGAAGAACATTAATTTTAAATGAATGGATTTTTGCTGATGTATTTTTGGCAAAGTTGTGAGTCTCCACCCATCCTTTATGATTTGTAAATCATAAGCAGTCAGTAGGCAGGAGTAACACTTTCTTCTGTTTTTAGGACCCCTTCCTGACCTTACAATGCTGTCAGCTGGAGCCGGCTTAAGAGATATGAGAGCACAACCTGGAATTTGTAAGATCTTGTGTGGCCTATCCAAGTGGATTCAAAATTTGGACCAGTTCTTCAAGGTTCAGTTCTCTCATATCGGTGTCTAACTGTGGCAACATGAGAAATGACTAAACATCCAGAAGCCCCCTTATTCTCACAGCTTCCACTAAAGGACCATAAGTTGGAACAGCAACTACATTTTGTTTCCAGTTATCGATATTTTTATCATTTGGAGAGTTTAGAGGTCACCAGGCCAATTATCAAGTGTCATTGAGAAGAACACAGGACATTTAGAAAATCCATTATGGAAACAAGTGCGTCAGCCACAATTGACCTACAGTAGATTTGCGGGTGTGTGCAAAGTACAGGGGGAGTCATCTAGTCAGGCTTTAGCAGTGGTGCGGCAAAACATCTGCAGTGAAGAGGGTTATTGACTCTGAGCCAAAGGTCTTACAGCAATGCAGTGACGTGTAATGTAAATGTGTCACCTTCTATATTTGTTATACACCCTGACGTGCCTTACCTTGGTGCCAGCTCTTATGCTAAGGTACACGATCTTGCTGCAAATCCTCCCTTTGGGCTTGCTGAAGTAAAATGCCCAAATGTTGAGTGTAACAGAGGCTATGCACATTAAGCTCATTAGTGGTCAGGCCAAATTGGAAAAGAACCACAAGTACTTTTCACAGGTCCAAGGCCAGAAGGCCATAACTAGTTTGCCTTGGTGTGATTTTATCACATCTACCAAAACTGACCTCACTATTGAGAGAGTCTGGTGAGATGATTCTCTGATCACAGAAATGAAGAAGAAGCTTGACCTGTTCTATTTAAACAATATATGGATATGTACCTGGATATGAAATAATTAGCCAGTGAATCTACATTTGTACACTCTAAAAGTTCTACACTCTACACTCAAGGGTTATTTAGTAAAGACAGTGGTTCTATAGAGAAATGTGAACACTGAAAGAACCATCTGCATGATCAAATGGTTCTTCAGATTCATGGAGAATGTGTTGCGTATGTTTCTACATCGCACCTTTTTGAAAGGGTTCTATATGGCACCAAAAAGGTTTCTGCTGTTGTGATGTCAAGCTTGTTACAGAGGAATCCTTTTTGGTGCTATATAGAACCATTTTGAAAAGGTTCTATATTGAAACATATACAACATATATATATATATATATATATATATATATATATATATATATATATGTGTGTATATATATATATATATATATATATATATATATATATATATATATATACTTTCTCCATCAGTCTGAAGAACAATTTCACCATGCAAAGAACTATTTATACAAGAAATGATTCTATTTAGAACTCATGTTTCTAAACAGAACCATTTTTAATACAGAACCCTTGAAGCACCATCTTTTTAAGAGTGTACATTTTGGTCCATTTCTATTAGTTCATTGTATTATAAAATTTCTTAACAACGTAAAAGGCAGCTGGCCTAACAATTACAGAGATACACGTCTTTGTCCTGAGGCTACAATTTGCTCTTAAGTTACCAAATGGTGGTTCCCAAACCTGGTCTGGTGTGCCTCCATCCTGCACATTGTAGTGGTTTTCCCTGCTCCCGAGACACCTGGTCAGCCCATTAACAAGCATTTCTTGAGTTGACATTGTGTTGTGTTACAGTAGGATAGACACTAAATTGTGCAGGCCAAAGAGTACTCAAGGCCCAGGGCTTGGAACATGTGTTCTTATGCATTTTCAGTAGTTCTGCTAACTCAGGTACCTATGTTATTGTACTTATATGTATTGTTAATTTTAAAACTACCCCCAGGTTGGCTCCAGTGGAAGGTGCCAGTAACCCTCTCCAGGGCAGGGTGCATAGTACCTTGTGTCTCTTGATTATGGGGAATTTTGGATCGAGTTTGTCTGGGTCTTCACTCCACACCTGTTTGCCTTGGGAGACCATACCAGAAGCATACCGCTCTAGACAACTTAGCTCTGAAGATGCCTAGACCACACAAGCCCTTACGCCACAAACGTTTTTAACAGCAGTTTGTTTTCAGAGCAGGGAGTTATCACTACTCACTTTTAACTCATCACAGAATTCCTTCATTGAACTGAATTGGTAACCAGGAAATACATGCTCTGAGACATTAGGGCACATACGTTTGTTTCCCTCGAGAATGGTTTCTGTTGAATCAGTTTGCTTGTGAGAATGAAATTTTATCTTTCAACTAGGAGAAGTAAGCTAAGCAACCCAGTTTGCAAAATAATGTGAAGGTTGTAGTCAGGTAACTGTTTATACAGGTACGTATGTGTGGGGTGTGATTGTAACAAAAAAGGGAATCCAATCATTTAAACCAAGTGTGGCAGTACATGGTTACAATAAACAGCAACAGACACTGCTGTCCTTAATAGACCAAGTTTAATACTCATGTGTAGTGTTTATCCTTCTCCAATATGATTAGGTCATCTCTTGAAGGAACAGCCTATATTTTCCAATTGTCCAACTGTTTAAAACTTTAAAGATTCTAAACTATATTTTTTACAGCATTAATGGGTATATATTACTGAACAGGAGCAGAGCTAGATAGAGTAGCATAAATCAATACTCAAGCAAAAGTCATGTTACTTCTGTGAAATTATGGCTTATGTAAAAGTTATAGTATCTTTGCACAAATTTACTTGAGTTGCAGCAGGCAAAAGAAAAACCTAAGTAACTTATAGAACTACAGCAGAATTTCCTAGTACATCCAGCATGGGAACTGCAGTGCACTCTTTTTTTTTGTGGAGCACTCTGGGTTACTTCAAACTGCTTTGCACAACATTGTTCAGTTTAGGCAACACCTATGATGTTGCTGAAGAACAGTTTCATGACTTGCTTCCGTATTTTGGTCAGTGTTAAACCATAAATAAGAGGGTTTAAAATAGGAGGTATCAGGAGGAAGTCCAGGGCCAAGAAATTTCTCAAACCTTGAGGAAAAGAATTTGAACCATAGCGACTATAAAGTACATCAAACAACAAAGCACTTGTAACATTCAACAGTGTAAGTATGTGTGGCGTGCAAGTCTGCATGAATTTATATCTGCCCTCTTTAGACTTTCTACATGTTTCAATCAACTGTATGTATGAGCAAATAATCAATACTGCATGTCCAAAATATAAAAATATAATTATGTATCCAACCACATTATTCACTGTTGTGGAGCTGCAGGCCAGTTTAACAACTGCCCAGTTTTCACAATATATCTTTTCAATATTTGAGCCACACAATGCTAATCTTGATGTCAATAAGACTAAAACAGCTATGCAAAATAAAGGTGCAAGCCAAGAAAAAATGATAAATTTTACAATTTTATGATTTGTCATTTCTGAGTGGTACTCTAGTGGTCGACATATTGCCACATACCTGTCATATGCCATTACTGTTAAAGTTGAATAGTCACACAAAGCAGATGAATAGATGACAAATATCTGAATCAAACAGCCTGCATATGATATCACATGAAGCTGAGACAGTAAGTCATACATGAATTTAGGGTAGAAACCAGCAGTGCCATAAAGTGCATTTATACACAAATTACATAAAAATATGTACATTGGCTCATGAAGGCATTTATCTGAGGCGATGGAAAAAATGACAGTGATGTTACATAATAAGACAAAGTTATAGCACAGTGCTGTCAAAGAAAAAAGCACATATTTGTTTTCAGCTGTTCCATCTAATCCAGAGAGTGTGAACACTAAAATGCTGGAAACATTTTCCATGATAGATCGATTCTGTAATGGAAAAGAATTACATAACAGGATTAGCTAGAATTGGTTTCAAGATGTCCAGCACCTGTAATTTTGCAACTAAACTGCAAGTGCTCTGCAGACTCAGACTGTGAGGTGAAGTAAATGTACAATATAAAGTTTTACCTTTCTAAACCATAATGGCTGGTTTAAGCAAGTACTAAATATTTGTCATTGTTAAGTCTTTTTCAATTAATAACCATGACATTCAGTAGAAAATTTTCACTCAAAAAATCAATGACCAATTTCCCAAAATAAATTCACAGCTACTTCATCTTGTCTTTAAAAAATAGAAGTGAATACAAATATTAAATTAATAAATAATAAAATGGCTTAGGTCATATTGCCCTTCTGTAATGCAGAGCACTGAATTTGGTTATTAAGATGACATTCATAGCTGTATTGTTTCTGTATGCTGTAATCAGATGCTACACTTAAAAAGAAAGTCATCTAAAAATTATCTTTCAGAATCAACAAAATTATACAATAGATTTGATATATTATTTTAGTATTCATAGGAATTTTATATTAGACTGTATATTTCCCTACAGATAAACAAAGTAAATAAAAAAAAGTAAATAGCAAGTAAATAAAAAAACAGGTGTACCATCTTGTGCCTTATCATGCGTCTCCTCTAATAAAGATATGTTTGGAGAGTCTTTTTATACAGTTCTTCTCCACAGTCAGCCTACTCTGGGACAGGTAATGATGAAGTGCAGATCCACGAAGTGAGGAAAAAATAGAATATTTTAGCCAATCAAATCCAGAGATAGTGTCTCTTGGTTGGTTGGGGGGGGTTGTTTAACCTTTTAAGGCTAATGTCTGCTGTGTAATCTGCTCTTCTCTGTTAGCAACATGACTTCTCAATGTTGTCATTAGATTTATTTGATATGTAAAGAATGCAATCTAACCAATCTAACCAAGTCCAACATTTTACACTTTTAAATGGGCAAACATAAATATGAATAAAAGTCACACATCAATCATTAATTATAGTGACTGTGATTACACAAAACTGACCCAAAACACATTATAAATGAGCTTGCACATTCATTCAAAAAAATCAGTGTGTCCAACAATAAAGGAAGCTATGTTTTGCTTTTATGATACAGTGATAAACATACAGGAAGAGCCAACATGGATACATAAAGGCTGTAAAGGCTGAGTTAAAGGAGCCATGCATATTTAGTCCTATATTTATTTTAGCCTTTTTATTTTGGGCATGTGTGAAAATGCTGCAAAATCATATGATACACAGCTTCATATAGACTTATAATGCATTATTTGTGTGTAAAAGTCATACATTCAGACTGTAAGTAGTGCCCTATAGGGATTTGGGGGAGTGATTCTAACAGTTTGCTGATCAGTTTGCTAGAATTAGTTTTCTAGTGGACAGCAGAGCAGCACAGTGAACTGTACTGCCTGAACGATTCATGCAGTGTGCCATAAAGATGTGTACCCGGTCTGCAACAACGTTTAGGTAGGTGGCACATCTGACATCTGCCTGAGTTCTTCACCCAGGGTGTAGCACACCATGTGCTACCCTGAGCAGAGGAAGGATGCTGGCATGATGGTTTCAGCATCAAGCATTTTATTTCTCTTACAACAAGCACTACTTAAGTCACACCAAAACCCAAAACCACCACCTTTCAGTGGCTGGTGTGTGGCTTCATTGTGGAATTGGAGACAGGGCTCAGGAAGTTGCATTTGGGGCTTGAGTGCTGACTTCTTGTCAGTATCCTGGCCTCAGACGCCATCCTCACGCTGGCTCTCATGCTTCTCACTGGCGTTTGCTGCTCAGGTATTTGGAACACACCCCCATCATTGAACTTCGGCCAGTGACCCCCCTAGTGACAGACAAAGCATGTATAGGGAGGAAAGGGAGGAAGAGATGAATTGAGGGTCGTAGGGCAGACCGGGGAAAAAGATATTGGGAAGGGGAGCCCACTTCAGCCAAGATGCAGGGACAGTCAGAGGGTAGGCTTCACATTCCGATGGGAGCGTATAACCTCAGCAGGGGTTCAGGAAGTATGCCCCCTCACCATCCAGGTGCAGGGACAGTAGATCAGAGGCTCTTGACCATCTGCTGGGTCTAGTTATCATCCAACTGCCCCAGTGCTTTTTGGCTTCTAGGAGCAGACCCAGCAGGCCCTATTGGAGGTTCGTTGTCCATAAAGGAGGGCCTGGATCACTTTACCACCTGGTATGGATCACTCCGTGTGCCCATGTGCTTCTCCCAGGTTTCAGCCTTAATGTAGCATGCCATGTGCTCTGATGAGGAACAAAGCACAATGCAGGCATGATGGTTTCAGCAGCAAGTATTTTTTTATCTTAAAACAAACACAACCAAAATAAACCAAAAACTGATCTCTTTCCAGTGGCCTCTTTTTCTTTAATGACTTTTTAGTCCTTCCTCCCACATGAGCTTTTCAGCTGTACTCACTTAATTTGCTGCTACTCACCCATCCCCTCTCTCCCAAGAGGGCTTGTTGCATTTACTTCTCTATCACCATCCCTGCTCTGCAACATGACCACCAGGTTTGAATGTAATGTGTAGTGTGGAACAGGAGGCAGGCCAAGGAGGCACATAGGGTATTGCTCAGAGCATCAGACTCCTTCCACCATCATTTTCCCACTGTGCATCCTGGTGCCATCACTTCCCCAGGTAAATGGTGCACACACCCAGTCATCCAAGTGATGTAAATAAAATAGCATCCACCTCCATAAGGAACGGGGCTTTGGGGTTCAGCAAACAGACATGCAGAGGTCAGGTGGTGTTTGATGTCCTCAAATGCCTCCTGGGCTTCAGGCATCCTCTAACCATCCTGGTGGTATAAGACCTGGGTTTTCTGTTGGGAGGAAACCAAGGAAGGTTGGGGAGTAACATCTGGAATGACTGCAAGGCATTCAAAACCAGTTGGAGGGACTTCATTGAATAAGCCCCGGACCATCACAGATCAGGTCAACCAGTCTATCCGGGCAATCAGCCGGCCAGGTGCTCATGTAAGAAGCAGCAATATCTGCTCTATATATTAGCCTAGATGTAAGATAATAGGAAGGGTCTGCTGAGTGACAACAACAGAGGAACAAGTGTGGCCATCAATGGCCAAAAGAAGTATAGAGTGAATGAGAGAATTGGGGCGTAGCTTCAAACCCATATCAATGAAGTTCCCCGCTGCCCCAAAGTCAATGAAAGCGCTGACTTTTCACTTTTGCTGATAGTATTGGCTGGTCTTTTACTGAAAACTTGGGGCAATCTGAGAGAAATTGACCTGAAAGGCCACAATAGAGGTGCCTGCACTCTTGCGTATGGGTGTCCTGTTCATGATAATAAAGTCTATCCTCTAAGCCTGGAAGGCTCAAAAGGGTTGCAGAGGGCAGTGTAGTAAGGGCCAGGGAAGCATGCCGCTCAGGAAGACGTCTGACAGCATCAGCCTTTCAGTACCTATGGCACTCCTGCAGGCAATTGTCCAGCCAGAGGGTTCAGTCATACAGGTCTTAATGAGTTAAGGGTAGATCGTAAGAGAGTACAAAAATGCAGATACAAATAACACATCAAAGATTATGGAACATTCACGTATGGTATATATGCAACTTCTTAGTTCGTTTTTCACTTGCTTTGTTCAACTGTTAAGCTGATGAAAATTATGTTTTTGCATGTTGTGCATGAGTTTCCTCTTGCAAAGCCAGCCTGAGGATTTTTTAACTGGCTTCTACATAGGTTACGCTGTAACATTCTGTGTCCAGCTTGCCACTAACTAACTAGAAATGTTAGACTGAAAACAATTAAAAGCAATTGACCCACTAGAGCTTGAGAATTTCTCATATTTATTTACTCTCTTAAAGCTTTAATAATAAATACAACAATTTCCATAATGCAGTGTGCCAGCAAGCTACTTAGTCAGTCCCATGTATAACCCCAGCCAACCAAAGGGGCATGTTTAACTGGGAGCATGGAGAGTGATACACACACACTGCAAAAGAACAATGCAAGCTTCTTTTGCAGTCCTCTATAAAGTAGATTTATTCATGAAAATGCAGCACACAGTTTGTGTTCAAAGGTTAAAAAAGCACAAGCAATGGGTGTCACCTGTTTTGGTGCTGATATTTAAAAGACTATATTAAAGGATGTAATTTTCAGTCTGCCTGCAGTCACACTGGTTGCAACTACTTCAGAGGCTCAGTCTCATTCTCTACCATCCTCCCAGTCTTCTGTTCTACTGACCTCCCAATCTCCTGCTCTGCCAGTCCCTTGCTCTGCCTGCCCCCTAGGCTCCTACTCTGCTGGCCTACCACCCTCCTGCTCTGCCTACCTTCCAGTGTCCTGCTGTGCTAGCCTCCCAGTCTCTTGTGTCTTTTCTGTCTTATGGCTCAGCTTTTATCAAGGCCCTTGAACTAGTCCAAGTCTCCAAGCCAGTTCTGTACTGGCTACCTGGCTGTTCCATCACTGGCTTCTGTCTGGGGTCCAGATCTGGATTCTCAAGCTAGAACAACATTTCTGTGCCAACTTCAGTTTCCAGTTAAGCTCCTTGAGCAAGGCAGGCCTGTGTACTGTTCCATTCTCCGTCTCTGTTCTGGTCTATGTGCTGGTCCAGTCCCTTGTGCAACCTCTGTCCCTGGCTCTTCATCTATCCTAGCTCCTGTTGTGAATTCATGTTGGGGAACCCCAGCCAATAATTAATGTTCCTAGGTGCTTCTTGTCCCTGTTCTCATGTTTATTTAAAACTCTTTCATTTTCTTTGTTTCTGTTCATGGATTCCCACATTTTTTTGTTTTCTTCATGTTTTGTTAAAAAAAACTGCTTAGAAGGACTCCATTAAATAGACTTTGCATATGTGTCTCACTTCACTGCCTCGTTCATTGTATGTATTACAAATAAATTCCATTGTATGTAGTGGAAATGCCTCTTATTAGCTCCCCATAAAGGTCAGTTTTTTGCAGAGCTCTTGATATCGCGGACAGGGATACCTCTATTCCACTTTCAACTACGGGGCTCTGTAGGTCCTCTATAGTGATTGCTGGCCTTTCTCTGTCTTTACTCCCAAGTCTGCGTCTTGTGGAAGGGGATTATATTTCGATTGTGGCTTGTACTTTTCAAGGCATTGAGATTTGAGCATGTAAATACAAATGGCAAAAGAAAACAAAAATACTGATTGGAAAAATATGGAGCATTTAAAGATGAAAAACACTGCTATGTAAATCTACTATTATGTTTAATTTTTTTTCTTTTTACAGCTCTTTGTTACAAAATTATTTGTTTTGTTTTTTTTTCAGTTCATGTCCTTGGCAGATAAAAATGAATCATGTCCAATCATTTAATTAGCCAGATAACTATCATGTAGACATGTGTGGGATAGAGTTTAGGGCCAAAGAAGGAAAGGTTGCTACAAACTCTTTTTAACAAAAATGTTCAGTTTAGGCAACACCTATAATGTTGCTGAAGAACAGTTTCATGACTTGCTTCCGTATTTTGGTCAGTGTTAAACCATAAATAAGAGGATTTAAAATGGGAGGTATCAGGAGGAAGTCCAGGGCCAAGAAATTTCGCAAACCTTGAGGAAAAGAATTTGAACCATAGCGACTGTAAAGCACATCAAACAACAAAGCAATTGTAACATTAAACAAAGCAAGAAGATGTGGTGTACATGTCTGCATGAATTTATATCTGCCCTCTTTAGACTTTCTACATGTTTCAATTAACTGTATATATGAGCCAACAATCAATACTACATGTCCAAAATATCCAATTATAATTATGTATCCAATCACATTATTCACTGTTGTAGAATAACAAGCCAGCTTAACAACTGCCCAGTTTTCACAATATATCTTTTCAATATTTGAGCCACACAAGATTAGTGTTGATGTTAACAAGACAGAAAGAGTCATTATAAAAAATGGTGCAAGCCAAGAAAAAATGATAAATTTGACAATTTTTTGATTTGTCATTTCTGAGTGGTACTCAAGTGGTCGACATATTGCCACATACCTGTCATATGCCATTACTGTTAAAGTTGAATAGTCACACATAACAGACGAATAAATAACAAATATCTGAATCAAACAGCCTGCATATGATATCACATGTAACTGGGACAGTAAGTCATACATGAATTTAGGGTAGAAACCAGCAGTGCCGTAAAGTGCATTCATACACAAATTACATAAAAATATGTACATTGGCTCATGAAGGCATTTATCTGAGGCGATGGACAAAATGACGGTGATGTTACATAATAAGATAAAGTTATAGCACAGTGCTGTTAAAGAAAATAGCGCATATCTGTTTTCAGCTGTTCCATCTAATCCAGACAGAGTGAACACAAAGATACTGGAAACATTCTTCATAGTGAACAGAATCTGTAATGGAAAGGATTAATTAGAATTAATTAAAGACTAATCAGAGTCATTAAAGATACGTCAAACCCATATTATGTGCAACTCAAAAAATGATGTACTGGCAAATATTTCTCTTTTTTGAAATTGTTTTAAGAATATTACAAGATTATACACGTTATTTCTAGATTTGTTCTGCTTGTTTTAAGTAAGTTGATCTAGATCTGGCAGATACTTTTGTTTGTTTAACATTATACAAGCAACAACATCTGCCAATAGAATAAGACAATTTTACTTGATAACATTCTTATCTCACAATGGGAAATGTTGCATATATTGACTAGACGTAAGATGATTTAATTTGCCAATATATATATTTTTTTCACAGTGCTGGTTCCAAGCCTTCCAACATCTGTGAGTCTCCCACTAAGCTGCAGCTGCTCTGGGAATTCACATTCTAGGGGTATTTAAAAGAACAACATAACTGTTCACCCTTCTAAACTGCCTGTGATATCATAGTATGATATTATATAATATCACTATGTGATAGTACTAATAATTTGGTAATGTCTTAGTTCATGACCTACCAACTTATTCATTTAATAATAATGAAATTCATTTAATTTTTTTTTTATGATTTTATAATAATTTACTTAGCCAGCAATTTCCCAGAAACTGCATCACATTTAAAAAATTGTGAATAAAAGGTTACCTTGCCCTGAATGCAGCTATCAAGCGATGACACTGTAATCAGATGCAACAGAAAATTTGTTTCATTTGATAGTCAACAAAAACATAAAATAGGTTTGATATATCGTTTTTTTATATTACACTTACAAAGTAATTTTTCTCTTGAAAGCAAGTAAAATACCTGCTGCCTTTGCATGTGTGTACTCTAATGAAGAGATGAAGGTTGGAGTGTCTTTTTATACAGTTCCTTTCCACAGCTGACCACCTATGGGACAGACTATGAAGGAGTTCATGGCAACTGAATGATAAATATGTATATATTTTAAAACTGTAGTTAATTTGTTTGTGCTCACTACATCAGTAACCCCTCTGACAGTTCAGTGTCATTCTACAATCTTTATATGGTGGATACAGTATACAGTAACATCACTGGCTAACTAGGGCTTTGTTACCATAACGGACAGGCTAACTAGAAATATTCGATAAACATAGCTAGTATACAGTCAATAATTTTAGAAATGGAGATTTCTAGGAATTTTTACCAATTCAACAAGGTTTGTTGGAGTTAAAAACTGACCAGAGTCATTTTGTTGTTCATCTGGTCAAACCACCAAATGTCACCAATTTAAATGTCACTTCAATAAATTATTCCATAGCAATTATTCTGAAGTAAATTGATCTGACTTTGTGTTATTATGATGCCCTTGTATGTCATTCATCACATATTCTTTTCAATTTTAGTTTTGTATTAAAAATGTTTTATTGCTTTAAAGGGCCTTTATTGAAGTTTCTAAATGAATTTTTTATTTTTAAAAATTTGTAAAAGTATCAAAATGTACCATTCTCTCCCCAGCCCGTACAGGCAGTATATGGAAACTGTTTTGACTTAATTGTTTTTGTGCTATCAAAAAAAAAGCACAGTTATAAACTTTTTCTCATTTGGTTAACAGTAGTTTAGTTCCTCCCATCCACACTAAGTTATAAGAAGTGTTTCAGAATATTCTTGGCACACAGTGCAGATCAGCCAATCAGGGTTGTTTTTCCTTATTATACCATACCTCAGTTCTATTGACAAGACACACCTAGATAGCAAGCTAGTTTTAGCAATTATAACCTGGTGCCTATTAGTTACACTGGCATGTAGGTAGCCAAATGAGAGGCAGCCATCAGTCATCACTCTAATACAGTGGCCCAGGCTCATACTGGACTCTGCTGCCTTGCCCCACTCCTACAGTGTCTCTGATATTAAGTGCTGCTCTTCCATAGCACTCTTGCTCCTTTTTTACCCGAAATCATCCAAAACCTAGCTGTGCATGACAAAACTACATAACAAAATGGCTGGACAGCCCATATTATTGGCATCTAGCACATCAACTTAGATATAAACAGCAATGAACTGAACTCAAACATAATTAGTGCAGCATTCAACCAATAACACTCAATATATGATGTCTCCAAAAATCAGATAATGGAAATCTAGATAAAGGACTTACATGGCAAAATATATAGACCTGTACAGCTGAAAGATCTTGTCAACCAGACCTACGTACTGACGTAATAAACATATGGCAGGTAGTATACAATTATAAAACATCAGCAATTTGCAACAATGTTTATCTATAGTGGAAGCATCTTTCAAACCATGAATAAAAAGAATTTAGCTAGTCAAACTACTTCTTGTGGGAGGGTTTCAGACAGTAAACAGTTTTTTTATATTATTTTATTTTCATCAATTATGCTCTTGAAAACTTTCAAAAATGTCTTCACAACATTACAACATGCTCCATATCCATTGTGTTACAGATAAATGACTAAAGTGAAAAAATTATATTTTCACTTTGAATCAAACATCAATTGTTCATACTATTGTTCCTATTGTTCATACATTCAAAATCCAACTCAGTGCATTACACATTTAATTATATAGTTATTATACAGTTATTTAAAATGTTGAGTATGCAACAATACATGTTAAGTCTTCAGCAATACATAAAAGAAAAAAGTTTAAATATGACTAAAGTTGAAAAAGAGGATTTCTTACAGATAAATAAAAGAAAGTAAATTCCAACAAAAGGCTGTATTTTCATTTATGACTTCCAGAAATGTGCATTAGAAAGGTGTGAATGCAGGATCAGTCTCAAAATAAAATAAAAATAGTGGCAATACCCAGAAGAAAAAGTAGATGTAGCACAAGATCAGTGAATTCAGTTAAATCCTAAATAAAACATTCATTCAAGTCAATAACATGTTACCATATGTGATACACTACCCCATGTTATATAAGCTGCAGTCTGTTTGTAATTAGACAAACCAGATAAAATGTGTTGAAAGCGTTCAAAAAGAGAAAAAAACACAAACAAATACTTAATGTAATGTATAATCAGGTGTGTATTGTAAGTTTTACAATCAGGGTGAAAAACATAGTAAATGTGGTTCTCTGTAAAACCCAATTTTACAAAAGCCTAAAATACCCTAATTTGAACCATTGATTTACAATTTTCTAAAATTTCCTCAAATGTATATTCAGGGCTGAGTTCCCCAAAAGCATCTGAGCACAAAGATAATTCTTAAATGGTAAAGCGAGCATCACACTGTACACTCTCTATTCCAGGTGGGACGATCTCAACACTAAAATGCTTTTGTGAAACTGGGCCCTGTTCAGTGTGCAAATTGGGGATGAACAGATTGTTTAGATATTTTTAGATTTGTAATTTTTCTGCGAATATCAGGAAAGTTCAAGCCGTAAACAAGGGGGTTTAAGAGAGGCGGTATAATCAGAAACTCTAGAGAGAGAATAACAGCTACTGCTGGATGTAAATTCTCAAACCGGGTAAAAGTCATTTCACAGAAAATAGTAATTGAGTAATTAGTGAAAGTCACCAAATGAGGAAGACAAGTATGATAAGCTTTCTTCCTTACCTCTTTTGAACTTTTCTGACAGATTAAAAGAATCTTAAAATAAGAATATATAATAAAAGTCAAGGGAATCAAAACTGTTGTTATAAGCACAACAAAGCCATAGATGTTGTCAATCATAGCATTCTCACAGGAGAGCTTTGCAATAATCCAGTTGTTGCAGTACAATTTTTTTATTTCATTACCACACAGTCTTAGTCTGGCAGTCAAAATGATGCCAATACCAATAGAAAACATTGGATAAATCCAAGATAAAGCTATCAATATGATAAGTACCCTGGGGGTAATAATGCTGTGGTATCGTAAAGGTTTACTTATAGCAACAAATCTGTCATATGCCATTAAAGTTAAGATTGTAAATTCATATGATGCATAAGTGTAAATAACAAACGTCTGTACATGGCATGCAGGACGGGAGATCATGTGTGAATATACCAGTAAATCAGTTAGCAATCGTGGAAAGAAGCCAGCTGTGCCATAAAGAGAATTGAGTGATAAACATGAAATCAGAATGTACATAGGCTGGTGCAAAGTGGGTTCCAGATATATTACAAGAATGATGGCGACATTGAAGAATAATATAGTGCAGTACAGGATCAGTCCCAAAATGAAGAACAAATATCGGAAATAGCCCAGATTTTCAAACATGGAGAAATAGAGGATGGTTTCATTTTCCATTGTGCTTTAGATGACAAACACTGAAATCATTGTCCTGAACTGAAAAGAAGAAATTACATCACTATATCAGCAACATTACTCTCATGATTATTAACATAGAAACAAAATGCTTTATAACATTTTGAACATATAATCTCCACAAAAGTACTGATGTGTAGAACATTAACATACCCCACTGCAGATCAAACGGACAGCGGGAATAGTAAGACGACTCTTGCAGGAGGAAAAGTGAGCATGACTATTTGGCTGAGTTTATATAGTATAAGGTGACAGACCCAAGGAGGTCACCAAGGATGCCGACCTATGTCCCCTTTGTTTATTGTTTTTAGCTAACAGGAAGGCATAGATAATTAGCTGTTGACGTCCAAAAAAGCCTACATGGGCAATTTGTTATATACATGTTTACCACCTTCAATTATATGAGTCTGTGGACCTACCCTTCAATAACTTACTCTCATTTCTATACAACTATTAGATCACTTCCATTTTATACAATATTACTAAAACATTCAAAGTATAAATATGCAAATATGGTGAGTTTATGATGCCATTGCACAGCCTTATTGCAGTAAGCTCTAATAACCATCAAAGTAAGTGTATTATGGATTCTGTTTCTTGATGTTCCATCCATTCTCATCTGTTCCTCCTTTTATTGAGGCTTAGCATTCCTTTTTACATATAAAAGAAATTATAGCAATGACAGAAATGATTGTAACTTCTTTACATTTTTCAGAGATTTAAATTGAAATAGTTCACTTTGGTAAAATCTTTCTTAAAAGAACCTTTAGATCTCTGGTTTGTACCTTTTGTACATTTTCCTGTTTCTTTTGGCAGTCCTATGCAAACTGGGAACAATTTTAGAACAGTGGCTTCCGACTTCTATGACTGTGGCAGCTCAACGTCAAAGTGCTTTACAATGAAAAAAAAAAACAGAAACACACCAAACAGGTAAGGTAAAAATGAAAACAAGTAAGATTACTGTGCATTATAATTTCAAATAAAAGACAAATTCAACTGTTTCTTGAGTGTGTGCCACATCGATTGCCTCAATGTAAAGGGTAATGAGCTCCACAGTGTAGAAGCATAATAACAGAGAGAGGCCTCTCCACTCCTTCTGGAATTTACTGTAATTACTCCATCCATCATCTAAACCGCTTATCCTTCTGGGTCGCAGTGGGGTGCTGGAGCCTATCCCAGCTGTCATTGGGCGGAAGGCAGGATACACCCTGGACAGATCGCCAGTCCATCGCAGGGCAGACAGACAGACATACACATTCACACACTCACTCACACCCAGGGTCAATTTAGCATGTCCAATTGACCTGACTGCATGTTTATGGACTGTGGGAGGAAACCGGAGTACCCGGAGGAAACCCACGCAGACACGGGGAGAACAGGCAAACTCCACACAGAAACGACCCTGGTCACACGGCCGGGAATTAAACCCAGGCCCTTCTTGCTGTGAGGCGACAGTGCTACCCACTTCGCCATCGTGCCGCAACTGTAATTACTGTATACTCTAATTTGTTTGCAGAAGGTCAGAATCTGGGGTCTTTTAGTGCCTCAAAAATTAGTAAAAAAATCATTCTAAAAGATATAGGTAACAGTGCAGTTCTTTCAAAATGAGCATGATATATGTTCTTTCTTATTTTCATTAGGATAAGTGTTATTCTTTTTTTTTGTCAGAATGTAAAATTATATTCAGGTTTAAAAACTTCAGATTTGAACCTATGAACTATGACATATGAACTTTTTTTTCAGTAACATTGACAGAGTATAATTTAGTAAAAACCTTCATAGGTGAGCAAGCAAAGAAACATCAGAAAAAATGTTTTATATTGGTTTCAGCACTGTTTTTATTGTGGAAGTTGTACATGTTTTTTTTATATCAGAAAGCTGCAGTTGTGCTTTTCTCAGCACAGCCGTCTTTGTAGAAATCAGGGAAAATATTTTGTTTGAAAACAATATTAATTAATTAATTAGAAATTCTCACTCCAATTTCCATTCTGCCAATGGAATGGGCCTGCAGAAAGAAAATATGCAAGGCAGAGGTTCGGAACCTCTTGGGGTTGGGCACCTCCCCTTCATCAAAATGATATTAAATTCTGTAGCTCAACAACCATTGCTAATTTCAGTCCCAACCCTGAAGTGCACTTCAACAGAGTAAACAACATTTGACACTGTTAACAAGGTTGGCAGGTAGCAATATCATTATTATCTGCCAGTCTAACAAAGACAGGGATATATTTTTGTCTCAAGACGTTGGTGAACCTATGTGAACCTATGCAGGGTAAATGGGACCTGAACATGATTAGTAGATTTCAAATAATTTGCAAAATCACTACTCAAAACAGTTCTGAAGGCAGCACTACCCCTGAGGCAGGATGAACGTAAATGGCTCAGAGAACAACCAATTGAAATAACCAATAGACAGGGCTTATCTTTACAAATGACTCTCTGTTCCTCTGTGCTGCCAATGTGGATGCAGTGCATGAAAGGTATGGAATTCAGTTTCTGGTGTTGTTCGTTTTTCAGGAAATTCTTTGTACATGGTGTTAGTTTCTCAGAAACCTGCCTGGAAAACTAGTTAGCTTCTAAAGCAGCATCTTCTTTGACTGCTTGCTTGTTAGCTAGTAAAGTAATGTAGGTAGACTAGTAGTAATGCTAGCTATTAAACATGAGTGACAGCAGTTTCTTTACTAATGCTGTGTTTACATGTTGGAACTGAAGACATACCTCTTGCAATGATAGCAGCATGCTGCCACTAAACTTTGCTGTGGTCACGCTGAGTCTAAATCACAACTGCTTAAATTTTAAGCATATTATGGTAGTATGTACATTGTGCACTCATGGCACCAGCTTATTATCCAATGTTTTTTGTGATGAACTACTAATAAAAATAAAAGTAATAATACGCTTTCAGCCTGCTGTGAATTATGAACACAGTAAAGTACACATGGGCCTACATATTTGACAAACCTTATAGTATATCTCTCATTCCAGCTTGCTCTGCTTAACCAAGCACATTCATCCCTGCCTGTTGGCTGGTAACTAATTACGTTCATTCTACCTCAAAGGTAGCGCTGCCTTCAGAACCGTTTTGAGTAGCGATTTCATACACAAGCTATTTTAATTGCCACATAATTTAATAGTCTTGAAAAAAAGGCCAGCACGGTGGCGCAGTGGGTAGCTCTGTCGCCTCACAGCAAGAATCGCCTGGGTTTAATTCCCGGCCGGGTGACCAGGGTCATTTCTACATGGAGTTTGCATGTTCTCCCCGTGTCTGCGTGGGTTTCCTCCAGGTACTCCGGTTTCCTCCCACAGCCCAAAGACATGCAGTCAGGCCGATTGGACATGCTAAATTGCCCCTAGGTGTGAGTGTGTGTGTGTGAATGTGTATGTCTGTCTGTCTGCCCTGCGATGGACTGGCGATCTGTCCAGGGTGTATCCTGCCTTCCGCCCAATGACAGCTGGGATAGACTCCAGCACCCCACCGCGACCCAGAAGGATAAGCGGTTTAGATGATGGATGGATGGATGGATGAAAAAAAGGCCAAGATCATTAAATGTGGATCAGTGTACCATGTGTAAGCATACACAGAGGCTACACAAGCAGCATTGTTCACACACTGTAACACTTACTTTCATAGTGTCTACATAACACATCTTACATCTTACATAAACACTCTATAACATACTCTTTCTATTGATAGGTTGCTGTCTCAAACCCAACCCAACTCAACTTGACAGAATAGTACTTAGTTTTTTAATGGTTTTTTTTTCAATTAACTCTGATTTATATTAAAAGTGAACTTGAAAGATTTAGATTTAAAAAAAAAAATAAAATACTGGCACACATTTCCATGATACTCCTGAAACACAAAAGTTTTAGTTCATATTTTAGCCACGCCCCTGCATTTTAGAGCAGGAAGTGAGACTGCATCCCTGTCCCTCATGACCACATGGTGAGCTGTTAGATTCCATTGTTCTGAAGTAAATGCATCTCAATATCTGAAAATCAGTGCACAACATTAAGAACTGTCACTATCAAAACACTTTTTTCTACAATTATGTAAACTTTTTTGTATTTTAATAAAAGCATTAAAAATAATCATATTTTTGATTTTAAAAATGTATATAACATAACTGTTCAAAGCTGTGTTTGGCAGTCATTTCCTGGTTAGCGTTGTTGAGTCACACTCAAAATTAGTTCAAATTGTCATTACCAAAACAGTCACTACTGAAACATTTGTTAAAGTTTTGCACAGTTCTAAAATTGTAATTTAAAATTACAGCATTAAATTCATTCCTTCAGCATTTTATCATACTGAGAGTATGTTTTATGCCACTGGCCATCAAATCAGCCACTGAAGAACTCATGTTCTGAATCTTGTTGAATTTTGTTCAATAATATAACACTGTTGTGTTACATTACCAGTAACTGTCATGACAGATGCCACAAAGTTTGATGTTATGACAGCTAACTAGAGTATGCCTAACAAAAATAGCATGTGACATATGCTGTCATGACACCAGACATTATGAAGTATAACGTGTTAAGGACATGGTTATATCAATGTAATATAGCTGGTACTGTCGAATAGGCCAGACACAGAGGCCTGTTAAACTTTAGGTCCAAATGTTTCATCCACAATTCATCTTAGCTTCCGCAGGTCTACATAGGGACCTCGTGGGATACACTGTGTCCCAAAATGATGTAATAAAATAACATGTTTGTTACAGGTCATTATGTTTCCTATCTCAAATGTATCACTGGTTCTTCTATCCCAGAAGAGCAGTGTGTCCACCACATCTCTCAACGGGCAACATTGCACAGACCTTAAAACATAAAAATGGACTAGAACCCTTTAATTGGTCCCACTGGTGAACCCATTGCTATGTGGCTACAAATCTACAAATCAAGACAATATTTAGTCAATTTTTTTTTATTCAGTTGTATCTAAGAGCTTCTCAAACCATGAAAGTCATAGTAAAAATATG